TTTTTTTTTTTTTTTTTTTTTTTAGAGCCACGACACAAACACATACGCATGTTAATAAACGCACATAAAAGAACCGGTAATGTTCATATGTTTGTGATAACAACGCAGTCGGGCAAATAGTCATCGTAATTGAAATGAAACAGTAGCAAACAATTGAATTAGAAATGTTTTGAAATAATAAACAGTTATAAATACTACTAAATAGCAACGCCACAAAAAAAGAGAGCATAGCACGCACACTGGAGATGGGCGCGGGATATCCGGTTGGTTGCGCAATGCTGGGAATGGTCGGTGTCGGGAGTCTTTAAAAAATTGCGGTCAGGTCGGGACAAAAAACCTTTCCCGGCATTCAGAAAGTTGTATTACCAAAAAATTACCAAAAAATGCTACCAGTTCGTTTCACCGTGGTTCTAAGTACGTTGGTAATGCAGTTAAATATTCAGCAATTCAGCTATGAAGAATTTTGGGAATTCTGGCATTACATATTTCACGCGGCAATACTTTGTTACCAGAGTACATAGAATGCGAAAAGGTTATAAAATTGTAATTACCAGCGCAGATTAGACCTGCATTAACCCGCGGTTCAATTTTGAAAAACTTTCAAGATGGGCGGGATCGATACCTAAAACTTGAATATCGTGATGGGCGAGATCGGGATTGAATATTTAGTCCAGTGCCCATCTCTAACACACACAAGCCCAAAATCACACCTACGCATGCACAGACGTATGCCACACGTTAGATGCCCTAAGTCCACTACAGTTGTATTTAGTAATTTAATCACATAGATATGGCATCATCCACATTATAATCAACCCTAGCCGTTCCCACAGGAGAGCCATAAGTGCGTTTCTTACATGGCGCATACACAAGCATTTACATACATATGTATGTATGGATGAGCACACGAATATGCGAATGTTTGTCGCCGGGCACAATGTTACAATCCCGAATCAGAAGTACACACAAATCTAATTTTAACGCCTTATTCGATTGAACAAAAATTTATTTTTATTAACCAAATTCGAAAAAGGAGGAGGTTATCAGTTCGTCGGAATATACTTATCTATATTACCGCATCACTTTGGACCACGTTTACCGATTTCTATAATTTTTTTTTTTTTTTAAGGAAAGGGGGTACCTCAGAGGTAGTCCCATACTAATTTAGATCGGATCTTTGGATCATCAAGAAATTAACGGTACTTTTATATGAGAATTGAAGTCGGTTTGGTTTTTTGCTTAAAAATTACTTGTATGTATATATAAATTTCTGTTTATTTGTGTATGTGCATATGACCAACAGGTTGTGAATATCGGCTGTAAGAATGTTTTCAAAGATGAGCACATGAGAGTGAGGTTTGGGATCTTCTCATGTTTTTTCGTCAGTCTCTTCCGAAAATTTTGTTATATAAAAATGATGATGTCACACAAAAGACGACTCACCTTATACTGAAGAAGAAAAGCAAACAATTTTTGTTTTCGCTCGAGCGAAGTTCTTGAAACGAGAGAGGAACGAGAAGCAAGGATTCTGCAATAAATCGCTTATTTTATAATCATTTATTATTAAGGGCCATAAGCCCCGGGATCTCTAGCGTGTATTAAGTGTAGCACCATCTAAATGAGTTAATCTGCGCCCAGTGAAAGTGTCACATTCACAGAGAATATGTTTTGGCGTTTCATCGCAAAAAGCGGCAAACATTTATTTCTGAAAGCTCAATTCTTCTGAAGCAATAACGAAAGGAGCAGTGTCCAGTGCAGTACCTAGTAAGAGTTTTGAGGTAGTCTCCACCTTAATTAAGAAGTTTCTTTGAAGATTCATTTCAAGGACAGATAAATCGTCTGGCTGGACCCTTATTTGAATGAAGATGTATTTTATTCAAAACACTTAATTTTAAGAAAGATGTTTTTTGTGGTGCAAAATATTACTATACGCTTTCGTTTTCAATGAATAAACTGATATAATCTTCATAAAAATATTTAAAAAAATTTAAAGTTGTGACTGAAACTTACAGGCCAACCTAAATATTCACGCACGCCGGCAATTTACTGTCAAAATTTTCTCATCCACATACAACTTGAATGGGGCCAACCGGAATTGAACGGCGTGTGTAAAAAGCTAACTCAAATTCGAAGGTTTGTCTTGCGTGACATTTCGATTTGACGTTTATACTCATTTGACAATTTTGGCACGACCATGGATTAAAATTGTATGCAAGAAACCTTTTAAATTTGACAGAAATGCAACTCTGAGAAAGCACGCGGGAAAATTTATTGCGGTTTATCCTTGGGTGTGTGCATAGAAAAAATCACGTCGGTAATATTAGGTTGAACTGTTAGTCATTTAAAAAGTGATTGCTACTAAAATAGAGATATATAGGGCATTTTCAAATTTATGTCGTTTTCTCTTTTGCATGGAATGGCCCAAAGACAATTTAAAGGGCAGACAAAAGTACTCATATTCTTAATTTACTTATACAACAACTACTATTTTATGTAAGCAAAGAAGAATACTTATAGTTTTTTGTCTTTGGAATTACTTAGCAGGTTTACACTCACAGGCGACGATATTTAAATACAACGACGCACAGTGGTCTGAGAGTGGCAGAAAGTCCTAATTTCGATATGTGTGGAAATATCCAAATAAGTGGTTGACTCGATTTCAAACATACTAACGGGTTTTAAGTATTTATTCAGAGAAAAACTACTCTAGCAATTATCAAAGGGCACAGGAAGTCGGTGTTGTATGAATTGAATTTTTATGTTGGAATTTTTATACGCATTTCACCGGCTCAGAAACGGTAGTTGAATGATTGATTGAAACAGGATTTGTCTTCATCCTCAATATCAATTTCAATAGTATGCAAGGGTCGCTCCAAATCATGACCTCATAATTTAACCTAATCCTTTCAGAGTTAAGGACAATGAAAATGTATGAAAACTGGTCAAAATTGGAGGACTGCCACGCTCACTACACTAGGGGCGGATATGGTAAATATTATACGATCCCAATGAAATTCGGTTTGTAACTTGGCTTATGCTAGGAAGACATACATCAGAAATATAGCAAAAATCGGTCAACTGCCACGCCCATCAGCTTTCCCAATTCTGTGTTCTAATCTGGCAAGGACTAATAATGATCCTCCAAAATAGCAGGAATATGGTGCAAGATGTATTTTTGCATAATAATCCAGAAAAATAACAACAAATGTGAATTAGCTACCAGCCACGTCCTTCCTCCCCGACACTAGTGGACAGGAATGGGAAATACTACATGATTTCATTAAAATCGATTTGTACTTTAAAACCCGAATTTCACTGAAATCGGATAACACTTCCCATTTCCGCCCACTAGTATTAAGGGAGGGGGCGTGGCTGGTCACCAATCCATGCAATTTGTTATATATCTTAAAAATAGATCTTGCACCAAAGTGTCTTTGCCACATTAGAATCCAGATTTCGGATGACTGGTGGGCATTAAACTTGACCGATTTTTTCCATCTTTCAGATTTATATGCTTCTAGGTTAGTGTGGTGGGCGTGGCAGTCCACTAAATTCAACCATTTTTCAATTTATTCATTCCTAGGCAAAAGTATTCCACGTAACAATTTTCAGACCACATTTACTACTTTTTGCCACATGTTAAATGTAGCTCTTCCATTGTGCGACGCTCGATAAGGTATTTGCAATTTAACCTTATATGAAAAATTCAAATATCTTTAAAAATAATGAGTTGATTNAGGGGGCGTGGCTGGTCACCAATCCATGCAATTTGTTATATATCTTAAAAATAGATCTTGCACCAAAGTGTCTTTGCCACATTAGAATCCAGATTTCGGATGACTGGTGGGCATTAAACTTGACCGATTTTTTCCATCTTTCAGATTTATATGCTTCTAGGTTAGTGTGGTGGGCGTGGCAGTCCACTAAATTCAACCATTTTTCAATTTATTCATTCCTAGGCAAAAGTATTCCACGTAACAATTTTCAGACCACATTTACTACTTTTTGCCACATGTTAAATGTAGCTCTTCCATTGTGCGACGCTCGATAAGGTATTTGCAATTTAACCTTATATGAAAAATTCAAATATCTTTAAAAATAATGAGTTGATTATTCACATGATTGATGTTTAGACAAGTTCGTTTCAATACTTATTTTATACTAATTTTACCCATGCGGGATCACAGTGCAACGCGGCCATGAACGCGCCGAGGGCGTCTTCATCGATGCTACCACCAGCAACGTCAGGTTTCCTTTCTTTTCCACATCACCTGAGAGCCCACATTCAAACTTTTATTATTTCAAAAGCGCAAAAATTCAGCTATTGTATTTAGTTTCGCTTCTCTCGCATCTCCCACTGCAGAAAATATTGTAGCAACAGAAGTATGCACAGGCTATGAAACTCACAAATATTATGAAAATGTAGCAAATATCCTTATTATGCGCGTCATGGCCTATAGTATTTGAATTATATATTCTGAATGTATGCTTTCTGAACGCATTCCCATTCTTTCATTTTACCACAAACATCACAACGGATGGAATGGATATTATATTCGTACATAAATACAAAAAAAAAAGTTTTCCTGTTAAAAGTTGTTGTCAAATAGAAATAAAAATAAGAGAAAATAACCAACCACAATAATAATAACAGAAACCACTTCCTACTTTGAAAATTAATTGGTAAGAAGTTGTTTGAGTTAGATTACATAAACTTAAGTGGAAGTTTACACAGCGAAATTATTACCAGTTTTGATTATCTTTGGTCAAAAGGAATTCTACATCTGAACAAAAACTATATACATATGTACATACATATGTATGTAAATATGTTCAAATTTACAAAAACTCATTGTATTCTTTCCAATCTGCTCAACTCGAAATATTAAAGCTGAATAAGACATTCTTGGCCAATTTTAATAAGCCCAGCAATCTGCAACTCAATTCACACCCACACCCTCTCACATAGCTGTTTTTGAATCAAATTGCGGTGAGAGCGAATCGCTAAAATCACAACATACACCCACATATACATTTAAATTATATTATATCGTTGAAGGGCGCGCCGAGAGACTTACTTGACGCATAGCAGTTAAAAATCCTTGGGGATTAAAGAATCCCGTCATCCAAAAGACCTTTCGAAACATATTCACATTTCGTTAATGCGCAAATTGAATTCGTGTGTATTCAGCCAGATAGAGAGCGGTGGTGGCAAAGGCCGCGGGCAGATAGCGCCGGCAGTCATCCAACGGCGAGCGCAGCAATTGCATCATCCACGTATTAAACGGCGGGAAGAGGAGAAAAGATATGACGTCACAAAACAATTAATGATTTCTCGATAATAACTAATGAACGAGACTTTAATACTCGTATATTTTTCATTAGGGTGGCTCTAACAATGGACTTTTTACAGATGTTGAAACATTTAACTGCCCTTCAGTTTGCTTCCAATTCATAAAAAAAACAAGCTACGCCTCGATAGGATACACATCGCTAGAGCTTTTAGGGAGGTAAACACCTAAAAGTCAACTACCATTTCTTAAAAAAAAAAATAAAACCTGGGGCCCATTCTGGTTCTATGAAACAGTGACGTGAAAATGAAAAATTCAAGGTCAGTGAAAATTTAATTTTTTTTACTTTATCGTTTCGCTATATCATTTTAAGCGATTTTTGATCATTAAAAGCTATTCCATCATCATCTAACAAGTACTTATTTAATAAATTATTGTGAGTTTATGACAATCATAATCCTCATAACAAGAGGATAGTTTTGAGAAAGACGCCCAACATTTCTTTTTCACAGCCACAAAACTTTGTGAAAAAAAGTTTTCACAGACAAATTAATTAATTTACATTTGAAAATAGAATCGTAATTTTATGTAAAGTGATGAACAATTTTTTCACTTCACGTTTTCACAGAACAGGAATTGGCCCTCTGACTAGAAAATCTCGAATTTACGATTTTGAGACGACATTTTTTAACACATTTTATGCCTTATAAAACTTTTATTATCGTTGTGAAATATTTTTTAAACGAAATTCTTGGCATTTGCATTTGCAAATTTGCATTTTTTCATTATATTGTTGACGTTTTTTTTTTACCGTTTACCTATTGTAGATTTACTTTCGAACTATAGACGCCTCGGCCGGTCTATCGTGAACTCCCTTAGTATAACATATCGAGGGCTGACATTCAATACCATCTATAAGCGATTTTCACAAAAACTGCCATCACCGATGGTATTTCTAACTTTGCAATCCAACAGCGAATTCTACTAACAAGCTATTTATAAGTGAATAACTCAGTGAGAGGATAGACAAGGATCTTGGTATGTGTTTATATATAAAAAAAATATGTTGATTTGATCCAAAAATGTTGGGTAGGCATGCATTAGGGCGCTTGATGTTAGTAGTCGCGCCTAAACAATAGGTCATTTTGTGAAAATTGCTGAAGAGAGTATTTAATATAAGCCCTCGATTTATAGTTTTAAAGGGGTATTCCAAATAAAGGTAATTTTTCAAGATTTTTCCTTTTAACTTACATATAATTTTATGAGATTATTTGCGTTTTTTATAGCTTCAATAAGCACTAACTCACCTTGGGTCGGTCCGTAGATATCCAAGTTCGGAATTGTGCATTTCGTTCGAGTAGCTCAGTGTACCAAAAGCCCAGAGTTGTAGATTCCCAGGATATCTGTGAATTATAATTTCCATAAGTAAATGCTTAATGTTGGAATACAAATTTTTAACATATCTTAAACGACAAGGTAATCATTTTAATTTAAGATGAAATAAGGATTATTAAAAAAATTAAAAAAAAATCACACTAACATTCCAAAATACATATAACTAATTTTTCTATATTAACATCTATACTAAAAATAAATGTACTGAGCTTCGTTTTTTGCATTAAATCCCATCCATCTGTAAAAAAAAAAACAAAAAAAAACTACGAATGCATTGCTAGCTGAAATTTTGCTAACCTTTTATATCACTCCGTATGTACACATATACATACACTCCAACGCATGTACATTAGAGTGGTTCAAAAAAAAATTTTTTTAATTCATTAACGCTACTTCAAATTATTGAGATTTGGGATAAAAAAAGAGGAACGTATTTTTTTATTTAAAAAAAAAAAACCTTTTTTAGAGGTCGCGCTGGTCGGTTTTTATAAAAACGCTGATGTTCCCAATTTTTTTACTTTCCTGGCTTGCAGCTAAAAATGTTGTTTTAACATATAATCACTCTGGTATTATTGGGGAACATTCTCTTAAATACATACATACCTGTCTTGGACAGTTAGAATGAGGCAAGTGTCCGAAAATATGCTTTCGAAAGGAGACTACCAAAATTAATACGTTGTTACTGAACGATTTACGCATTTTCATGGGTTGGAACTTGTTATCAGAGGGTTTTTGGGGTTTCTAATTAGAAATCTGAAGTGAGTTATTCAAAATTCAAAATGGCGAATCCAAAATGGCGATACATTTTTTTATGTTTGGATTTGATCGAAGCTTGGCACTCGGGATTTTTTGGGATCGCTGATGACGAATCTCAAATCAATTTTTAAAATTCAAAATGGCAGATCCAATATGTCTATCAAATTCTTATAAAAAAGCTACTCGAATTGAAACGTTGATACTGAACGTTTTAAGCATTGTCATGGGTCGAAACTCATTACCATTGGGTTTCTAATTACGAATGTGAGTTTCAAACCAATGCAATCATTTTTTTAAGTTGATCGCCATATTGGATCCGCCATTTTGGATTTTGAAAAACTGACATCATATGCATAATCAGAGATCCCAGAAATCCCCTGGTAACGAGTTTTAACCCATGACAATACTTAAAACGTTCCGTATTAACGTTGTGATTTTAGTAGTCTCTTTTCGAAACATATTTTCGGGCACTAGGCTCATTTTAACTATCCAAGACAGATATGTAATTTCTCTTTTTTTTACCACAAATAACAATATTTTGATGTTGCGTTTATGAATTTTCAAAAAGAGCGATTTTTTTAACCACTCCAATGTACATATAGATATGTTCGTATCGACATTAAACATACGAGTATGTATATTCATGTGAATTTGTCGAGCGCCGAATGCATTTGACAGTCAAATAAAAATCACTTTTGTACTTCAACTAACTGCGTAAGGACTTGTCTGACGCAGTTGGCTTCGAAGGAATTATCACTACTTTCTGCTATATCGCATTTGAGAATGCACAAAAAATACGAAAAAATTTATAGAAATGCTTACATACATATGTATGTATGTATGTATGTAAATAGAATGTATATAGTATGTGCCCTACAAACATCTTCCGACATTCGCCTAAGTAAGCTGATGAAGTGCAACCTAAGCTCTGGCTCAGACATCACACGCAAAATCACACATCGTACTTCAATAAAGAACTTTCGCACTTTTGACGTAAATTCATTATCGCCTACGCGTTCATTCATGCCCAGCCATGCCCTCTCCCTACTAGACAGAGTATATAAATACCTTTTACTAGATTCGTTTGAATGTACATATATACATACGTATGTACCAACCTTCATCCACGACTCCGGTATGCGTGCATCATACATGGCATCCAAGGACTCCTTCAATGCTGGACTCATCACAATGGTGCCATCAATTGCCAATTTCAAGTCGCACAAGCATGTGTACACCTTCTTAATCACTTTCTGCATGCGATCAATCTCTTGCCTGCAGATTGGTTAATTTAAAAAAATAAATTTAAAAAAAACGAAAAAGTCGGAGAATACCGATTCTCCACAACAACAAATGATATTCAATAGGTAATTATTAATATACAAAAAATGGAAGAGTAATCCAGCAACAGGCTTCAGGTGTGAAATGTGGCAATTACCTGAGAAAGATGTTCATCGGCAGGAGAATTCCCATGCGCATCAGGTTCTCACGCACCTCGTAAGCATTATACTGTGACGGAAGCTTGCGCAGCATGTCGTCCGCCAGCTGATAGACGATGCTTTCGCGTGACTCTCCACCACCACCACCACCCTCCTTCGGTTGTACGCTCAATATAGTGTCCAAAATACCTTTGCGTGAGTGGAAAATTATTAATTTTTTGCCGTAACGAAAAATATTTACAGACAAATAAAGGTCGGGGTTTGGGTTTGAAGCAGGCATATAAATAGCTACATATATATGTATATGTATATGTAAGTACACAGCTAAGTTTCATATTGTTACAATAGGTTAAATAGGTTAATTCATTGGATGTTCGCTGATATATTTCAAATACATACAAACATAGTTTGAGTATAAAATGTTTAGCACATTTATGAATGGATGAGTTGAGACATTGTTTTCTTCTTCTTCTTCTACTTCTACTTTATTACTCTTCCACGCAACGAATATTATTTTAGTTAACTCAGCAATTCTTCACATTTCAATTAACACTAAATAAACCAAAGCGCACATCTTAACTCACATAAATACCAACAAATATGCACATATGCACATATGTCCTAACGAATGAGCCCACCTGTGTCCTTTATCCTCTCATAACCAACTCATCTTACAGTCTTATGCAATTGTGCTGGCATCAATAAAAGAAGGCATTTACCTTTAGCCGAATTAATTTGATACGTGATGTCAGCATTGGAATGCAAGCCGAAAACTTCTGGCGTGTCATAAGCTGGCAAACTGTTTATGTAGTCGACAAAGCCTTGCAAACTCTTCGTATTCGGCACTTTGTATCCTTTGTGGAATTCGAATGAGTTGCTCAAGAGTCCCTCACAAAACCACACCGCCGTGAATGTGGTCAGCAGTCTCTTATCAAAATCATCAGTCACGCGACCACCGTACTGCACCTCTCCAATCATGTAGACCAGCGTCTGCCATGAGACTCCCTTCTTCGGATCCATTTCGTCCAAGTGATTCTGTATGAATTGCACGCTCGCCGCAAAGTCCGCCTGATTAAACTCATACGGTATGTTCCAACCCAGCGGCCCGAACTTCCTACGCTCCTGCACGATGGTGTGCAGAAATGCCACTGTGTACAGCAGTGGTGGCCATTGCGACGCGGCGGTGTAGTCGAGGAAGTCTTGCGTGAAAGCCTGTGGGCGGCGGCAAAGCAAAACAATACATCGTCAGCAATTAAAGACATGCAAACAACGAATACAGCTCACCTGGTAGCTGCGCTTTAGACTGGCGCGTATGCCCTGCGGCGGCTCATTGGTGAATTTAATGGCCATTTGGAGTAAGCCTATTGGAAAATCTGCATGTGGTTCAGTGGTCACCCACATGCGGAACGTATCGTCGATGTGTTCCGTCTCCACCAGCATATCAATGACCTCCGAACAGAACGGCAATGAGAGATGAACATTCTGCAACAACACCCAGCCACCGCCGGACATTGAGTCCATTATCATTTTGCGTGCATGGCATTCCTGGCCCTGGCCCATGGATACCGATTTCAAAGCTAAAGCAGCCAAAAATGAGAATATCCTTTACGTTAGTATTTTTTGCGCTCCTGTGGCTGAGAGTGAGTGTTATGTGTGTGTGTGTGTGTGGCAGTGTGAAAGTGAGTTCAATGTAATGAAACTGTTGTGCGCTTACGTATGCCCTTTTGCTTAGCCAGAGCTGCGATTTGTGTGGTGGGGTCTGAACCAATTGATAGCAGGCAAACGAATGGCGTGCGGGGCTCTGATTCTCCCCAAGTAACTTCGAGGTCCAATATCTGCATCTCGCTGTATTCCGGGCCTAGAGATTCTGCAAGGATTAAATTTCAGAAAAACAATCTTAATTAATATAACATACATATATAGATAGATTCGCGTGCATTGTACGTTACACAGGTACCTCTACACCCATATACTATACTTGTATATTAGAGTGCATCACTCTTCATACGATAAAAAGTTCAGTACTATTTTTCCATCGGAAATACAACATTTTATATATTTAAAGACTTCCGCCAAAATGTTGGGGAAAAATATTACAACTTACGTCAGCTGGACCCATTTTAAAATACATGCATCAAAAAATGAGTTTTATATGGTTAAAACTACTTTAAATTTATTTTTATTTTTTAATAATCAACTCAGATAATATACGAGTTCAAGCTTAAAACGTCTGCATAAAATGTTTAAAAATTGTATCAATGGAATCAAAACAATGAGTTTTTGAGCTACTTTCAAAACGGTATAGCTCACGTAAATCTTAATATTTTTCTGAAACATTTCGCCAAAAGTTTTAAAATAGATATAATAAATTTTATAGTTCCGGTAGGAAAACGGCAACCTTTTTTTGGTGATGCACCCTATAGTATGTGAACATACGTACCCTCTATGTACTTCTTAGCCTGTGCAATTGTACGGTCCGGACACCATGAGCGCACTAGCAACAGCTTTCGGAAGCCGTCCAGAGATTCCTGATAGCCACATGGTATTTCCTCGTTTTCAGGTTTTTCGGCTTCGTACCAAAAGCGCCAGTCCTTTTCATTTGCTTCGATCTGTACAAATTTCAGAATGTATCTGCGATCTATGCATTGCGGAGCTTATTCAACTCACCAGTGACAACACATTTGAGAATGTTTCCAATTTGCTGATTTCCACCAAATTCAGCCAGG